GTTCACTATAAACAGCGGTCATCACTTCACCGCTATTAAAGCAGTGGTTTTTATCATATCAGTTGTACTGTTATCTATTGGAATGTTCCATGAGGTGCCTGGCCTAATTGCTGCACATTTGTTCGTACAGGTTATTCGCCTTTATATTAATCGCTGACTGCTATCCGTCTGAGTACTTTCAGCTTATCTAAAGGATCTTCTTGGTTATGTGAAACATTTTTTGAATTATTCTGCAATTCGTTACTTACAATTAAGACTTAGCTACTAGCTGATCAATTCAACTGAATCGGTGTTATTTAAGAATTTTCCGAATCAGCCAGATTTTGGATCGGCTGGCGTGGAAAACTTTTGGGGGTGTATTTTTTCAGTTTAGAATTTTTGGAATCATGTAAAACTTTCAGGAACGATTTTTTTCGATCAAAATAAATTCTGAATTGATTACGGATGAACTGCGTTCTGTTTTTCGAGGAGTTCTGCTCAAATATTCACTGTCCTCAAATGATCAATCTAATTGAATTGTCAAATTTCAGGAAGTTTATCTGATCAGTGAAATATCTGCGCTTGTTTTTCTAACTGCATTGTTGATCTACAACATCAAAAATGATGTTGTTTTTGTTGATGATAAACATTTGATGGCGTTGTTCAACGAATATGGTGTGGACATTCCGGACATTCCGGATGGTATTCGAACATATCATCAAATTGTCTAGCGTCGATATCTTGATCGGCACATGCTTGAATTAGTTGATTTATGCAAAAATGTCAACGATTCACCATAGAATCAGTCGTTAACATTGGCTTTTGAGATGATATGTTTAGGGAGTATCGTGTTAAGATCACAATCGGTGTAAAACTGATTTTTATTTGCATGTAAAACTGATTTTTACACCCAAACAGTTATACGTTTATCGCTAGAACAAGCAGCTGTTCGAGCTGTTTACAATACATCGAGATGCCTGTTCGTGCAGGTTACTTTAGGGGTGACATGTCGCTCTACAAGGAAGCAAAACAAATAACCCAACGATCTCATCAGCCCGTTTGAACCTGATCATTGAAATTCCTCCTTTCGAACGAGTTTATTAACAAGTTCTCATTACATATCACATTCCGTGAAATTTTCTTCGACTTTTCTGAATTCCAATGAATGATTTCAGGTTGCAAATTACGAATGGGTGCTGAAATTTTACGATGGATCGCATGGATTGTGTTGAATGCCGTTACATGGCTGATAATTGGTTGCGCTTTGGATCGTGTCGCTGAGAAACATCACGTCTCGAACAATCCAACAGCTGATAACAGTAGTGATCCGGCTGCTGCTACGGC